TCTAAATGATGACAGATATTTATAACACATTGGATCTGAATGATCAAAGCAGCTCTAGTGGAGGGAAGTCTGGCTGTAGTGTCATAACAAGGCCGTAGTAGCAATACCTGTAGCCAGAGTCCTTGACCCACGAAGCCAAACCTTGGTCAGGTCAGGTTTGACAAGAAGTTGGAGGCACGCAGCTCCCAAGGCAGGTGGAGGGAACTCATTCACCTGCATGGGAGGGGGCAGGGTGTTATGCAGCATTGTGGGGGAAAGATGGTTAACCTCTCCAAGCCATAGGAATTAGCACCAGATTTTCTGTCCAGTGTTATAAATCTTATTGGGGTACATCTACTCCCTACCCCCTACAACTGTTGCTGACAGCCTTGCTACATTGTAACAACAAGGCAGTACAGCCCAGCCACCCATCCATACGAAAACGCTGCCCCACAGTGTCGTGCTTGGGACTAAGGCTAACTCCTTTTCATGAAATGTTTAAGGCAGCGGGTAGAGGTTATTTGTGTGATTCCTTTTAGGAAAATATACCCCTCTGCTTATCTCTAAAGTCCTGTAAGTGATCACAATGTCAAAGTCAAGGAAGTCATGATTTGAGTCTGTCCCATATCGTCTGCGTCAGTCTAAGTCAGGACAAAAACACAATAACACACAGACACACAGGACAATGAATAGGACAATGGCACCGAACCAAACCAAAGATGACAGCGTCAAGCTATTTTGTGAGTGCAACCCGCCCATCTGTTGAACTGAGACCGCTACCTGCCTGCATGTCTCACCAGAGGGAACCACCCTCCGCAGAAGGCTCTGGGGACTTCTCCTCCAGGCATCCCACCTGTGATCTTTTTGGGCATCTGCCTAGACTGTCTACAGGCTCTTATGGTTCCTGGGCTCGCTTACAGAAAGACATGAGACACAGACATGGGACATGAAACAAAACACAGAAAACTTACTGGCCAGTTGAAGGCTCTACGGGTGGTAGTCCCAGTGGGCTTGGGGGATCCCAGAGAGCCCCCAAATGTTATGACCAGATCCATGAAGTCCCCCAAAAGCCAACAAGGAAACTGAGTCCCATATATAAAAGCAAAGAGCCTTTATTTTATGCAAGTTTGCAAACTCAAGTCTCTCTGCATGTCCAATGTATTGAAATAAACACAGAGCCCAGAGCTCAGTTAGGGTTGGGTTTTTATAGTAGTAAAGGTGGGGGTGAGGGGTTTCTGAGGTTCAGGACCCCTGATTGGCTGACATTTGTCTAGGGGTGTCCTGGTGAATGTGTGCTGGCAGGTGATCCTATCTACAACAGTTGGAATGTTAGACATTTTCTTTGGCTGGTCTGTTCTTGGCAGGTAATCTTAGTTTATGATCCTTCCTGCAACCAGGTATTGCTTCAGGGTAAACTACTGAGACTCAGGCCTCCATTAAACTTATCTATGGCTGAGTCCTACTCTGGCAGGTGATAATGGTTGGAAGTAAAGAATTTCCTTTGGGTGATCTGTTCCTATTTAGCTTATCATGGCTGGCTCCTACAGTTTCCTTGTGATAACTGCATTTTGAAATGACTGCCTTTGGTTTTCATCATGTTACCACAGTATGTGATATGTGTATTTGAGGGGAGACTGTTTAGACAAGTAAATATTCTTTGTCAGGAGGTGGTGGTGCACACCTTTAATCCCAGCACTTGGGAGGCAGAGGCAGGTGGATCTCTGTGAGTTCAAGTCCAGCCTGGTCTACAAGAGCTAGTTTCAGGACAGTCTCCAAAGCTACAGAGAACCCCTGTCTCAAAAAAATTCTTAGATACAGTTATGTCTTCATTGTTTTGGACATGCTTGAAGCTTGTATACTTTTTTTTTCTATGACAGGGTTTCTCTGTGTAACAATCTTGTCTGTCTTGGAACTCTCTTTTTAGATCAGGCCAGCCTCAAAGTCACTGAGATCTGCCTGCCTCTGCCTCTGAGTGCTGGGATTAAAGGCATGTACTACCAACAATCCTGGGAGCTTGTATAATTTAAAAGATCCTAGTTTAGTCGGGCAGTGGTGGCATATGCCTTTAATCCCGGCACTCGGGAGGCAGAGGCAGGAGGATCTCTGCAAGTTCGAGGCCAGCCTGGTTTACAACAGCTAGTTCCAGGACAGGCTTCGAAGCAACACAGAAACCCTGACTCACAAAAACAAACAAACAAACAACAAAGATCTCAGTTTAATATTAATTACAGTTTCGTGCCTTGGATTTTGATTGCTTAGATGTTCCTTTTTTTAAGTATGAGATATTTGGTTACTTAAATATACTTTCAAATATTCTAGGATCTGGGTGTGGTTGTGCACACCTCTAATCCCAACACTTGAAGGCAGAGACAGGGGGATATCTATGAGTTTGATGCCAGCCTGGTCTACAAGAGCTAGTTCCAGGCCAGCCAGGGTAATATAGAGTCTGAATTAAAAATTATGTTAGGGATATGTGTCTGTGTGATTTTTGCTTTATGGCAGTTTTATATTATTTTAGCCTTTTCTTAGAAGATGGTTGGTATTTTACAAAGCTTTTTTTTCCTGTGGGACAAGATTTTTTTGAATGGTTTTGAAATAATATAATTTTGTTTTGAAACAAAGTATATGGGATGAATAATACCTGGAGTCTAGTTTCCATTAAAATGTGTATTTAAACAAATGATTTAGACCAGCATTGGGCCCAAAGGAAGAGCTCAGAGAATACAGGTACCTTGATCTATCTGATAAGGAAATTCTGATTTTATGAAGCTGTTTTCAACAGTGTTAAGAATTTCAACATGATGTTGAAGACCACTGTGTATTTTTTAAATGTAATCGCTTTATTGTATTCTAGATTTACTTTAATTTCTAAATTGATTTAAAGTAAATAGTACAAGTTGAAGTCTGTCTAAAATAACAGAAGGCAAACTAGTAATTGCTGTTTATAGTGAAATAACTTGGAACAGTGAATGATTTCTTTTGTAGGTCAAATAACTGTCAAGAGAAGGCGATTCCTATTAGACTTTCAGTGTATACCTTTTGTAGAATGTAGAGAAAGTGTTATTATGCAAAGGTTACTAGATAAGGCTGATTGGTGGGGAGGGTATAAAAGGTGTTAAAATGTCTGATTCCAGAGTAAAATGGCAGTTGGTGATATCTCTGATCACTTTCCCTGATATAACTCCTTTGTGTAGTATCTTGATGAGTGAAAGCCATTGTCAAAACATACCATAGGTTATTTCTTTAAGAAACTTCAGGCCAGCTGGGTGGTGGTGGCACAGACCTTTAATCCCAATACTTGGGAGACAGAAGCAGGTCAGTTGCTGTGAGTTCGAGGCCAGCCTGGTCTACAGAGTGAGTTCCAGGACAGACAAGGAGACTTTGAGAAAAACCTGTCTCGAAAACCCAAGAAGAAAAAAGGAAACTTCAGACTTAATGTCTTGGGAGATGCCTCAGCAGTTAAGAGTACTTGCTGCTGTTGCAAAGGACCCTGGTTCTGAACTGGGCATCCACATGGCAGTTCAGAATCACCTTTTCATTCTAGTTCCAGGGAATTGAATGCCCTTTCTGACCTCCATGGGCATCAGGCATGTACATGGTGCACAGATATACATTCAGGCAAAACACATGTATGAAATAAAATAAATATAAAAATGTAAAGAAATACATAGTTTCTAAAATAACCTGAAAAGTTCAGAGTTTTATTCCCCCTTGAAAAGAGGTACGTTTTGGCTGCTTAGGCAAATTTGCATAGATCTACTATTGAAAGCATTATTTTTTAAAATTTCTCTGCTTTTCATTTCATTGACAGGTGTTTTGAAAATGAGTTATAGAAATGAAAGACACTGGTCTCATTCTAAAACAGCAGTCCATGTAACAGAACCTGTTTTAAATGTCATCTCTATGTGTATAGGTAGGGGTGTGTGTATGTGTATATAGAATTTTGAGTCTGGAGAATAGACTGTATAAAGACTACAAACCCATATTTTTCCTATTGCTTAATTATGTTCATAGTTTAGGGAGTTAATAGCTACAATATGATAGAACTGTGGTTACTGTAAGAAATACAATGATATTTGTATCTGGTATATTTTATTATTTGCCTCTGTTAGAAAAAGTGAGTGCACATGCAATAAAAAAGATGAATAATCTCAGAGATAATTGGCACTTGCAGTTGTCCTCTTGATGCTGTGATGGGGAATATTTTAGTTTTATATTTTGGATAGGAAGGTAGAAAATTGTAAGTATATAAGCTGTTAATGAATCCATTCTATCAAAATGTTTAACTTCCATGAAAGAGGGAAAAAGATTTTACATACAGAAAAGACACAAGTCTCCTAACATTAATTCTTTTGCATGGTTATAACAGCTGGTGGGAATGTGCAAGACTGGATTACTATTGCTTGAATACCTCAAGATAGGATGGTATCAACCCAGAGGAAATGTATAAGAAAATGACAGAAAAATCTGAGGAGTGAAGGGCTTCATTGGAAACCATGGCAAAGGAACAAGTTATAAATGATTTGAGAAAGAGGGCTTAGAAATGAAGGTGCACATTTTTTGGAAGCAGTGAGCACAACAGAAGACTTACTCTAACTCTTATAATCCTCAAAAGGACTAGCGGCAAAGTAGATGGGTTTCTTAGCTCGATTGTGTGCCTGTAACACGAGGTGAATGGAGGGCAGGGTGGGAAAAGCTAGTGTTCTTACTGTAAAGTTTCTTCTCAATTTGAGCTTCGCTGTCATCTTCCAGGGGATCTTTATTCTCTGACAGCTCAATGGAGATCACATGATCTTCAATTCCTATCTCTAATATTGATGTCAAGTAATCAAATAAGTGTTTCCAATAATACTTATGAAATCTTTTCTTTTTGATGTCCGTATCCTAGTAAAAATATATTGTACAATAAGCATCTCAGCCTTTACTATGTAATAGGTCTTAATATCAATGTTACTATGTGTATTAAGTATATTTTACCTTGAAGCTCTAATTTAGACTAAAACTTGTACTGTTTTTTTTAGGACAGCCAGTAGAGGGGACTTCATGTTTTCTGCGGATCGTTTGGTAGGTGGAGGTTTTCCATTTTTATTTCATTGTTATACGAGTGATATAATCCTGGTAGGCCAGGGGGCTTTTTCATTGTAGAGCATTCTGGGGTTGAGAGAGATTGCCCTGAGCAACCATCATCTTGCGAGGCTTCTGAAGTATCCTTTCCATTATAACATTATAGTGCTGCCTTACTCCCTTTTATTTCAAAACATTGCCTATGAACCCATTCCTTGTCATTCTTAGATGAATCTTGGCAGTCTGGTTCTCAGCAACTCATAAAATGCCATATTTTAGGCCCATGAACTGTAGCACATTAGAAGAAAACTATGTTCTGAGACCTAGCATTCACCCTTGTGTATCAGCTAATGTGCCGAAACTGGTGTATTTTCTTTTGTAGTTTACAGTGTTAATTGTGTTTGTTTTGCTTCTGCCTTGTGATAATGTTGAACACCTGCAATTCTAAGTTGGACTGCATACCCCTTCTTCAAGGGCATCCTGTTAAGTCCTGACCAAACCCAGTCCTTACATAGTCAGTGTCATCTCAGATGATCTCTTTGCCACAGCTTTCCATTCTTGTGTTGATATGTGTGCTCCATTCTTGGAGTGAAATTGATAAGTAGTTGCTAAGACTAATACTCTTCATTAATGAAAATAAACACTGAGTACATATTAGGCTTTGCACTAGACTATTTTGGGAGGGAGGAGATAAGACAGTTAGGAATATATAGATACGGTCTCTGCTCTTGTGGAATTTACAACCTTAACACTCTTGTCAGTACTTTGCTTAAGAAATAAATGTGGCTTATTAACCTTGTAGGTATAATCAAATCATAGAAAATACAAAAGAAAATGTGAAAAAAGGCATAGAACTTTTAATTTTGATTTTTTTTCTAGAGCACATATATCCCAAAAGAGTGTAGGCTATTCATCTTCTGCTTTTGGCTTTAAATATTCTTGATCGAGAGACCCAAATCTATTTAAACTTATTTTGGCTTCCGTGAATAGTAATAACTGTTGTTAGCAACAAGAAAAATATGGTTGACATTCCTGGTACAGAAGCCATTGTCTTCAATGTTTTCTTTTGTGTATGTGTCTGTTGTTTGTGGAGGTGCATGTGTGTGCTTGCATGCAGAAACCAGAGATCAATCTTGGCTGTGGAGGCCAGAGATCAGTCTTGGTTGCTTCTCAGGAACCATCTTCCTCATCTTTTTTTTTTTCAGATAAGGTTTTGTGCTGGGATTTGGGGCTTGCCACTTAGGCTAGGCTGACTGGCCATGAGCCCTCCAGAGACCCTCCTGTCACTAGGTTATAAAGTGTATGCTACCACTTTGCTTTTTTATATGGCTTCTAGAGATTGAACTTTGGTCTTTATGTTTACAAGGCAAGTAATTACCCCCAATTGAGCCATCTCTTCAGCCTTCTTTTATGTCTTCAGCAAAACCCAACCAAGCGAACAAAAAACCAAAACCATTTTTGAGGTGTTAGGAACTTCCTTAATGACTGCTGAGCAGAGAATAGGAGTCTCTGTTCTCTGGGATAAAATTATTTATCTTCATTTTGTTTCTCTTGTGCCCTCTCTCTTTTTTCGTTTTGAGACAATCTCTCCTTTTTTCCCATAATGATCTCAAAATTCTGGGCTCAAACATTCCTTCTGCCTCAGCTTTCCAAGTAGCTGGGACTACAATCCTAATGACAGCTGCATTTTTTTTTGTTATAGAAAGTAGGATTCCAGTTCATGGATGTTCTAAAATGCTTCTCTAAAGTAGCAGGCATTATATTCTAGCCAAGTAAGATAGATGGCATACTTTACCTAGGATATGGTAATTTGGATTTCTTCATTCTTTGTAGTTGGCTTTGAAGGACCAGTGATGGGGTGGGGTTGAGAAGAATCTGTTGTGGTTATGGTAGCAACTATAGCTGTTTATACTTTTATTGTTGAGGATTTCTAATACACTATCTCCTCAACACAAGGACGATATCCCTGATAGTGGACAAGTGATCTTATCCTGAGTTTGTTGAGAGTTGTTTCCTATAGTTCTTTACATTTTAATTATTTTGGGGAGAGAGCAGTGAAGATTTAACTGGGGGCCTTGAGTGTATTAAACACATGCTGTGCACCCCACCCTTTAAGAGGATTTGAGTCATTCTTCTTCTAGTTTCATGCTTTCCTCTTACTTAGACACACCTAGCTTTACACCTTTGTTTTATCTCCTCTTTGAAAATTTCATATATGTATACAATGTACTTTGATCATATTCATCCCTCATTCTGCCTTCAACTCCTCTCAGACTCTCCCAGCCAACTTCATGCCCTCCTTCTTTTTATAGCCCACTGAGTTTAGTTCATGCTGCCCACCTGCCCCTGGGTGTGAGGCCACCCTCTGGAGTATGGTCAACCTTTCAAGGGGGGGAGCACACTTCTAAAGAAAACTGACTCTCCCTCCTTCAGAAGCCATCAACTGTCAATAGCTCCTCAGTCAGAGGTGGGGCCTTGTGAACTACCCCCCCCCAGTGTATGTGCAGTGTTGATTGGCTTGATCTTGTGCCTGTCATGTGTAAGCAAATGCAGCTGCAATGAGTGTGCAACAGCCCTGCCACATCCAGAAAACATTTCACAGCAGTCCTCTCCAGACTCTGGCTCCTACAGACGTGGTCACTTCCATCCCAGAGTTTCAGGGGATGGAGCAGGAAACAAGGCTCATGTGAGGTAGATCACCAGAGGAAAGAGATATATACTTTTCAAAGGGGGAAAAAAAACCTTCTCTGCAATTTCTTTCTTAATAAACATAAGTATCCAAGGAAGGTGGTAGCTGGCAGTGAGTGTGCACTTGCATACACTATTCAAAAGGTTTCTGGGCCATTCTCTGATTCTGCAGGGGGACAAAGTGATGGGCCATTTCCAATTGATCCCTTTAATGACAACAGGGTGATGTGTTGTGATAACAGAGAATGAAGCATCGTACTTCTCCCTGCTGTTCCTGATTCTCAATCATTAATGTAATATTGATTGGAGAAAATGTGCAGTACAGGCTCGGCACTGGCTTTGTTATAGTGGGCTCTGGTTGCTCATATCTCGCTGTGAGCGACTGTTTCTAGTAATTTTGAGGGATTCTTCCTTTCTACTACATAGTTGCTATGCAACTCATAAAACTTGGTTTAATTTTTTTAAGTATTTATTTACTTGTGTGTGTATGTCTGTGTGTCTGCACACACCTGCTCATACCATTGTGGATGCATGTGAAAGTCGTAGTACAACTTCTGGGAGTCAGTTCTATCCTTCTGCCTGCTTATCTGCCATCTAATTATTCTTCATAGTACTTTTCTTTAACTGAGAAGTCCCAGGATAGTCTACTGGGTCCTCCTTCTGATCCAGTAAATTGCTTCAGCCTATCTATTTATTCATTTTCTCACAAGGGCTTTTCGATATAGTTTACGTTATGGTGTACCTTTGTTAGAAACGAATCTAAGTTCATTTTTAAATTGCAAAGATTTCAAAGGTACTAAGGAAGGTAGAGAATTATAGGTGGACACTTTCCACAGTAAGCCATAATTTTATTACTACCTATAGTGTTTTTGCCATAACTCTTGCTGAAGTTTTGTGCCTCTCATGTTCTTGACTGACTCGGAAGGCACATGGAAGCCCTTTGGTGATAGCCATGTGCCAAAACAGAGGTTGGGTACTTACCAACAAGCAGCCTGACATTTAGATGTGTCCCTGCAGTTAATCCATGATAGGGGCCCCCTTTTTTCCTCTATGACCTAAGCCCTCAGCTCCCAAGGCTAGCGGCTAGCAGGAGACTCTGAAGGCCCTCAATTTATTCTTTCTTTGACTTTCTAGATCAGACTTGTTGTAGAAGAGGGACTGAATCAGCTGCCATATAAAGAATGCATGGTGACCACGCCAACAGGTAATGAGGGCTTGTGCTCTCAACTTTTCCTCATAAAAATCCTGAACTAGAGTTGGGGGAGGAAAATGGAAAGAAGGCCTTCTGTGGAAAATCAGTGCGAAAAAGGAGTTTAGGTAGAGCTGTTTTCTTAAAAAAAAAATCTTTAAAAACTAAGAGACTTTTGTAAAGAAATATATGTAGGTGGCTTTTTGTTAATGCCTTGCTTGTCAATTCAAGTTAAAGGTTATTACATACTCTTCAGCATGCAGGTGTTGCTTCTGATGGCAGCCCACCGGGACCAAAGTTGAGAATTGCTGGCAGCTTATCTTCACCTCTGTGGGGAAGCCACTGGTGCTAACAAATGCAAGAGCCTGGTTTGGCATAGAAACTCCAGGTTTAAAAAGAAGATGAGATGTGGAAAAGGGAAAGAAAAGTCAAAATGATAAGATTTGGAGAAGGTGCTTTGCTCTAATAAAAATAGCCTACAATCCCCCTTTCAGAGATTGGAAAATCTGATTTATTTTTTTTCCATAAATGACGGAAAACTCTACTATTCAAAGGGCTGGCTATGAACAATTGAGGGCTGAGTTTGTTGCATCATAATTGACACAATTCAGAATGAGACCAAGTTTTGAGTAGCTTAATAACTATTTCAGCCTCTTTCTTCTGCTTCTTAAGGCGGAATGAAGGCTCTTAAGAAGGGATGGAATGAGGAGGCTTTTTGCTGTGACTCACAGTGGGGCCCCGATGTGAATTGATGGGGTGTCTAGTATTCATGGACTGCAGTGAGTCTCCTTTGAATTCAATTTGGAGGATGTGTATGTGAATATTGTGCTATAATAAGTCCAGTTCCCACTTGACGAAACCCTCCTCCCCCAATTATACTCAGAGGTTCCTTTTGAGGAATTAAGAAATAACTATGAACGATCATGACTCATTACTTTCACAGGAAATCCAAGGTGCTATCCATTGTGTCTGGGTTGCTTTGTACTCATCTGCTTTGAGCCACGAGTACCTTATAGAATATGCACATCTCTCCCATGATAAAGCATCTCTTTTTTTAATTTTTATTTCCCAACAGGGCACAAGTATGAAGGAGTGAAATTTGAGAAAGGAAATTGTGGGGTCAGCATAATGAGAAGCGGTAGGTTTGCATATGTGTGATTTTGTTTCTTTGCATGCATGGAAACGGTTGCTGTTTTCCAGGAGAGAGGCGGGCTGGCTTGTCATAATTGCATCCTGCCTTTGCTTAAATCTCACCACCTGTGTTGCCTATCCTCATGGTGCCTTGGAGTCATGGCCTCTGTGCTGCTAAGTTTGGTTAATTGTAATTGCAGGCATCATCCCTAGTGGCCTGCTCCCCCGAGCAAGGCAGCTTTTAAAATGCCTCAAAGGAGGGAGGGAGGATAGCAGGATGGGAGAATGGTTCGCAGACTGAAGGAATGTGGCATAAATTAAATTCTTTCTGAAGAAGAACATTTGGATAGCTGGCTGGAGAAGATGCTGCCTCTGCTTTTATCTGTGTTGCAGGGAACTCTGCCAAAAGCTGGACTGATTTCATATTGTAAATTTTATAGTCTATGTATATGTGACTACATAGGCAAAAGCACGTAGCTGTCATTAGCTCTAGCTATTTCCACTTGCTGATCTTATACAATCTGTATTGGTGCTTTGAGTCCAACTGATCATCTTAACTAGCAACGTTCGTGCAGCAAAATGGCATGCCTGTGATGAGAATGTGTGCCCGCTATACAGGAGTGATTGGTCTGCAGCAAACAACTTTTTTTTTTTTTCAAGGGCTGGAAGCCTCACTTGTTTGCACTGGGAAAAGACTGGACTTTAAAAACATAAACATTCATTTTTCTCTTGCTCTGGTTGTGTTTGTGAACAAATTGAACACCTCAATTACGAAAGGAGCTTTAGGATCTGTCCCTACAGGAAGACAGCTCTTAAGCAGTGAAAGCATTCTCCGAATAGTGTTGTTCAGCATCTGAAGTTGTTGAACACGTGGATATGGTTGCTTCTCAGCTCTGAAAGTACCAACTTCTCTGAGAGTAACACCTTGGTCCTTGCACCTCTGATGTTTTTCTGTTGGTTTAGCGGTTGCCCATGAACCTAATGAGGGGCTGCCCCATGGCCCCTCAGTCGGTGCTCCACCAGGCATTCCAGACTTAGCCTGATGGGGCTTCTGGTCCCACAGCCTTGTTGAACTAAGTAATGGATCCTGGCCACTTGTATCCTAAAGGAGAGCCTTTGACCTACAGCCCCCACTTGTTCATGAATTTTTTATATTTTTTCAGATGAAAGTGACAAATTTAGTTGGCTTAAAATCATCTTTAAAAATAATAAGAGTAAAAGCATCTGTGGTATAGAGGAAGCTCGAGGAACAACCCAGTCAACCTTTCATTTCCAGCATCATGGAAGCAGAACAGCTTCATACCTTGTAAGCAAGCAATAAGTCTAGCTTCCTGTGGTTTTTTTGGCAAGCCTTTCATCTGCTTTCATTGAGTTACCACTAAGAATAAAATATGAGCTCAGTAGAAGAGAAAGAAGAACACTTCTGCCTTGATAGTACTCTTTTTGTATTAATAGCAGTGAGAAACTCGACTTTGGCCTGTTCTTGGATTTGCACGCTCTCTGCTGCATCCCTTTTGTCCCTGATTCCTTTTCATTTCCTTCTTCAAGGTGAGGCAATGGAACAAGGTTTACGTGACTGCTGTCGATCCATACGAATTGGGAAGATCCTGATTCAGAGTGATGAAGAGACACAAAGGGCCAAAGTGTACTATGCCAAGTTCCCCCCAGACATTTATCGCAGGAAAGTTCTTCTGATGTATCCAATTCTCAGTGAGTGGCTTGAGTTGCATTTGTAATTTTTTGTTAGAGTTTAAATTCAAGTTAGTGTCTACCTCCTACGCACCCTTATATAAAAGGCAAAAACAGTTTCTAAATGTGTTTTTCTCTGTTGGATTTGGACTTGCCCTGGGCAATTCACTGGGAAATTTTTATTGTTTAATAAGGGAATATACATTAATCAAACTTTGTTAGCTCCAAAGAACATCTGTTTTGAAATGAACACAGTGAAGCAAAGGACCTAATGAGGCAAAATATATAGAACACAAAAAAATATATCGAAACATGTCCTGTCTCTGCTCTAATGATCATGGTACTGATTTTCTCAAGGTTTTATCCTCTCTACAGGTAATTTTTCTGATATTCTGTTCTCACCCCTGTACTTGCTCATACCATGGTCTCCCAGGGAGGTGAGCAGGGGTCATAGTGGTGTTAAATTTTGTATCTCAAGCAGTAAATGAGTTTAGGGCTTCTTGTACATTTGATACCTGTTTTTGTTGTACCTGTCATTAAAAATAACATTGACAAAGAACAGTTACTTTCAAATGAAGCGTTCACTAGTGAAGTCTTATGTTAAGATTCCTGTCTTGGCCTTACTTCCAGAACATGTCAGTTTAGATGTTAACATTGCTAATGGGTTCCGTTGCCTTTTTGTTTTAGGCACTGGCAATACTGTAATTGAAGCTGTAAAGGTTCTTATAGAACATGGAGTTCAACCCAGTGTTATTATCCTACTCAGTCTCTTCTCCACCCCCCATGGTGAGTTGAACTTGCAGCTATAACTTGAGCTCCAGATAGTCATGAGATAGTGTGTATCTCTCTAGCCTCTCATCCCAAGGCAAAGTATAGTTGTCGGTCCATATTAAATTTAAATCTAGTTTTGGTAGTTATGACTTGTGTTTGTCATCTCTAAGCTTAGTGATAATATTAAACAATTTTTTTGGACAAGGTGTTGCACACTGGTCTTGAACTCCTAGACTCAGGTGATCCTTTTGTCTCTTCTTCCTAAGCAACTGAGACCACGGGCATCGATAAACATGCCTGCCTTGTTTTACACTATCCTGATGTTTAATATCTTATTCCATTATTTTATACATGTATATGTTTGTTTAACTCAGAAACCAGAAAAGGGTGTTGCATCCCCTGGAACTGGAATTACAGATGGTTGTGACCTGCCCTGTGGGTGATGGGACTCAAACCTAGGTTCCCTGGTAGTGCTAGCAGCTAGTGCTCTTAACCACTGATCTATCTAGTCATTCTGATGTTTAAATTCAAATGGGAACATATGAATTACTTCATTGAAAATAACTGCAGTTGTTTTCGCAAGTGACCCCATTTGACTAGGCCCTACAAATGGCTGAAAGGTCCCAAGTTTCAAGGGTTTCCCACCTGAGCCTGAGAACAACTCTCGAATAACAAGGAACTTATGGTGTTATTGAAGTAATCTTTGCAATGTGATGTGAAGATCAGATGTTTTTTGAATTAGATGTCTGTTTTAAGTAGGTGTGAGGAAGTCATCTATTTCCCATTTCCTTTAAGAGATATAGCTAAATTAAGACTCTGCCTTTCTTACCAAACAGTCTCGGGCAGTTAGGAATACATAGTATGAAAATAATCATACAGGCATGTAAGAGTTTAGTTTCTAGGGTCTTCATTATAGAGTCGATTAGTATAAGAAATAATTTGAAAGTGTGTAAACGATGGCTGGGAATGGTGACACATGGTTGTAATCCCAGCACTTGGGAGGCAGAGACAAGAGAATCAGTGCAAGTTCAAGGCCAGCCCACCCTACATAGAAAACCTAGCTATATAGCAAGACTGTCTCAAAAACAACAACAAAAAGGAATTATATATACTTGACTGATAAGGAAAAGGGTATATAAGTAATATCTCCTTAGAGGTTTATTACATACCTTGCAAATGTTTGTTATTGGTTGTTTTAATCTTCTTACCCTTTTCACTTTTTGGAGGGTCCACCACCCAACTCCCAAATTAATCACACATAGAGTCTTATTCTTTCTTTTAAATGCCCGGCCTTAGCTTGGCTTGTTTCTAGCCAGATTTTCTTAATTTTTTTATTTTAATTAATTATTTTTTTAAAAACGATCTTTTCTCATTTTATATACCTATTCCATTTCCCACTCCCCTCCTCCCATCCACTCCTCAAAGAGGGTAAGGCTTCTCATGGGGAGTCAACAAAGTCTGACATATCATTTTGAGGCAGAACCAAGCCCCCCATATTTAGGTTGAGCAAGGTATCCCTCCAAAAAGAATGGGCTCCAAAAAGCCAATTCAAGCACTAGGGATAAATCCTGGTCCCACTGCCAGTGGCCCCACAAACTGCCCCCCAGCCACACACATTCAGAGAACCTAGTTCGATCCTATGCAGGTTTCCCCACTATCAGTCCAGAGTCAGTGAGCTCCCACTAGCTCAGGTCAGCTGTTTCTGTGGTTTCCCCATTGTGTTCTTGACCTCTTTGCTCATATTGTCACTCCTCCCTCTTCAAATGAACTCTGGGGGCTTGGCTCAGAGCTTTGTGGATCTCTGCATCTGCTTCCATCAGTTGCTATATGAAGTTTCTATGATGACAATTAGAGCAGTCATCAATCTGATTACAGGGGAAGGCTAGTTCAGGTACCCTCTCCACTATTGCTTGGGGTCTTAAGCTGAGGTCATCCTTGTGGATTCCTGGGAATTTCAATGGTGCCAGGTATCACAGTAGCCCCATAATGGCTCCCTCAGCCAAGATATCTCCCATTCCCAGGGGGATCTATGCATATCTCTCTTCAGTTTCTCCTTGTTACCTAGCTTCTCTGGAGTCGTAGACTATATAGCCAGATTTGTTTTTAGCTTAAATTATACCATCTATCTTTTCCCTCTGGGCTTTTATTTTTCTTATTTCTGTATACCTTTCTTTGCTTCTTTCTCCATGATTTGCTGTGTAGCTGGGTGGCTGGTCCCTGATGTCCTCCTCTCCTTGTTCTATCTTGCTCCTTCTTACCCCCATCCAGATTTCTCCTCCTATCTATTCTCTCAACCTGCCAGCCCCACCTATCCTTTCTCATGCCTTGCTATTGGCCATTCAGCTCTTTATTAAACCAATCTGTTATTTTAGATGGGCAAAGAATCACAGCTTCACAAAGTTAAACAAATGCAACATAAAAGAATGCAACACATCATTGCATCATTAAATAAATGTTCCATGGCATGAATAAATGCAACATATCTTAAAATAATATTCCACATCAAAAGTTGCTTTTGAAAAACATTTAGTGATATAAAAATATAGATAGCAAGTGTGAAAAAGCAGCACAAACAGGAGAATTGCATACTGTGAAATGCATCCCTCCTTCAAAGTCTCGAGGGCCTTTTTGGAGGGGTGGGAAGATCTTAAGAGCCAGAAGTAGTGGATGACTTTAGGGAAACAGTGTTTTGCAGACAGAACAGTTCCATATATGAACTCCCAGAGGATGTGTGACAGTGTGCCTAAGACCCATGCAGGCTCAAGCCAGATAAAATCCTAACATGGAGGTCGGGAAGGTGGACATGGAGTCCTACCATTAGCTGAGGCGCTACTGGCCTTTGATAGGAGAGGGAGAGTCAGGTTTTTTTGTTTTTTTTTTTTTAAATGGTTTGACCCCTGCTAGGTTGACATACCAGAGTTGGGCAAAACAGTCTGGGCTTGATGGTTGAAGGTGAGGAGAGGAAAAGAGAGAAGGCAAACACACACAGAGTTGGGTGGATAGGTAGTGGGGACGAAGTATGAATAAGATCAAAATATATTGTATGAAATTCTCAAAGAATTAATAGAAATATACAGATATACTGTGAAATGTTACCAGTAAGTTTAGAGATGACCAATACAAATTATAACACTAACTACTAAAAGTAGACTTGAGCATAAAACCAAATAAATTTGGCCTCAACATGAGTGACTAGGAAGGTATGCAATACTATTTCAGTTTTGGTTTCAAATTGCACCACACAGTACTAATAGTGGTTGTTTTCGGGTTTAATTCTGAATGACTTTCACTTTTAAGCTTTTGGGGTTTTGGACATTTTCTAAATGTTTTACTCACAGGTTAGGCTGTTCTCTCATTTCCAAGTAGCCTAGGTTTTAGGCAAACCTCAAGAAGCCACAGCATGTGTGTTAAAAGGCTATTCTCAGTAGGCTATTGTGTACTAATTGTGCTCTATTGGATTACTTTGTTCTTTTGTAACCTAAATGTACCTGTAATTCAAATACCAGTGGGGACAAAGGGTGATTTGCTTGATTGTCCATTGTATGTAGCACTGGTACATTGAAAACATTAAGATAATCCCATAATTATCCACCTCTGGCAAAAGAAAAATAATCTCTTTAGTTGTAGTTGTATTAATTGGAACAGTGTATCACTCTTTGGCATTAAAACTGAAAAATCCACATTGTGTAGCAGCTTTTACTGTGGTGCTTTGGTTTGGTGTCCCAGCTAGTCTAAATTCCCTGCCCAACCCCTCACCTAAAGCTCAAATCCTTCTTTCTAAACAGTTAGCATTCTCTGACACACCAAACACGCCTTCGCACTTATTTCCTGGGGTTTCCGTTGGAAAACTTTCATTTCATGGGATTATCCTTTTAGGGAGTGCCATATTACTTGATTCTAGCCAAAGCTGGTATGACTGAATAATTTGATTTTCAGACCATATTATTGAGTGGGCCGGAGCATGGTCTGAACTATTAACAAAACTTTTCACATAGCGGATGTTGTATAAAGAGATTAAGCATGCCTAATTCAGTATCCAAAGATGATTGTTCCCTGTTTTCTGTCAGTATTAAGTCTGGAGACAATGATTATACAATTCCTGAATTTTAACTAGTGTTACCCAAAATCTTGCAGTAATAACTATTTTTATATTTTGAAGGTGCCAAATCAATCATTCAAGAATTTCCAGAGATCACAATTTTAACTACTGAAGTTCATCCTGTTGCACCTACACATTTTGGACAGAAATACTTTGGAACAGACTAAGTTGTTAAAGGAAGATGAAGTGTTTTGCATAATATTATGGTTGTAAATGGATTTCATATTTGTTTTTATTAATTTGTTTGAGAAATAATGGAGAAAATACATTAGGAATGCATTTTAACATTGGAAGTAGGTGTAGCAACAAGAAATATTGGAAGCTTATGTTTGATTTGATCATTTCTTTCCATGTGGTACCAAAATCAACAGTGAAACACACTCATAGTGCTTAGATGGAAATTGTAATCATCTGCTCATGGAACTCACTGAACCCTCACTCAGTGCATGGAAACTGTCAAACTTGTGACCCTCTTGGTTTGGAGGTTGCTTGCAGCTGCAAAGAAACCCAAACCAGAGTTAGTTCTTTGGGCCGCTGCAGTTTACATTTGCTTTACTGTGCTCTTAGCTCTAGGGTGTTTTTCTGTATGTGGCTGTTGTTGCCCTCCGTACTCTAGACTTCCTTGTATATGCACAGGTATCTTGGAGAAGAGAGAGCAAGAATATATACTGGAATTTTATATTGCCGTTAATGCCCTCGCTTACTTTTCAGATCCACGATGTCTGGTTAACTCTTAAACTGTTGTGTTCCTTATAGATCATTTCCCAAACTGGGGGTTGAGGGAAGGTGCTTGCCAAACTGTAATACAGTGAAAACGTTGGCAGGGCCTTTACAGTTTTTGGATCTGTAACATGGATGAATCTACAGGGACTGAACCATGGATGCCTGATGCTGATAAGAGAGAGCTAAATCAGTCCTGCACAGGGAATTGGGGTTTTTTTTTCCTAAGGTGTGTGGGAAAGTGGAGGCTTTGCTGCATTTTGTGGCCAATAAGTAAATCAGCACGGTTCTTTTTAATTTAGTTGCTTCTACTAGTTGTTTTCGGTTTGGAGCCTAGTTATTTTGCATGTTTTACAGCTATAGCTATATTAGAGTAGAGGGGAAAAAACTAATGTTCTTTAAAAATATATGAGGTTTGCATGTGCTCATATTTAAGCTTCTGAAAGGGAGAGAAACAATATTAAACTCAATCTTTGCACTTTTGAAATGTGCTTATTAAAAAAAACCTTGATCCCATTTTACGTTGATGTTAAAACTTGTGACTGTAGCGACTAGGTGATTACTTGCTTAATTACACGCTCATGGCCCCACAGACAGCTGTTGTGGGGTTCTGTTCAAAAGCATACGATTGAGCAGAAGGTAGATTTTTCGAGAGAGCTAAAGCGGAAAAAAAAATCAGTGAGGGTCAGGGGAGGAAACACCGTTGAGTAGATTGACTGGATTTTACCCTGTGATTCTAGACTACTAGGGTTCACTGTACTTTTACTTTTGTTGTTGTCGTTGTTTGTTTGAGTCAGGGTTTCTCTCTGGTAGCCCTGGCTGTCCTGGAACTTGCGCTGTAGACCAGGCTGGCCTTGAACTCAGAGGCCTGCTTCAGGCTCCAGAGTGCTGGGATTAAAGGTGTGCATCACCATGCCCAGCTACTTTAGTTTTGAAAACTATCATGTAATAAGATTAAAATTCATCTAACAGTTCTTCCATGGCAGAATGTTGCCTTCAAGTTCTTACTGATTTTTTTTTAAAGACAAGTCTCACCATATAGCCCTGGCTGGCCTGGGATTTTCTGTGTAGACCAGGCTGGCCTGGAACTCAGAGATCCTCCTGCCTGTTAAGTGCTGGTATTAAAGGTGTTCACCACCTTTCCCAGCTGCCAGTTTTATTTATGTTTGTTAGTTAGGTGTCCCAGGAATGATGTGGGTAGAAAATTCAGATAGGTCAGATCTGTTGACATTATTCTTGCATTGAATCAGTTGGAAAGAAGATGCTGGATGTGGAAGAGCATTCCTGTAACCCCAGCATTGAGGAAGTTGAGGTAGGAGGATTTTGTGTTTGAGGGTAGTTTAAGTAACTGAGCCAGATTTTAATCTCAATTTTTTTTTTTTGCCTGCCAACCTGAGAATTGCTGCAACTGAATTGAATTGGTGCTTCTTTGGGCTGCAGTATTTTGTTTGAAGTGCTTTCCAGAACTTGAGATAATTTTGTGTCCAACTTTAGGCATGAAACCATATTTCAAGCAAATTCTTCTTTGTTTTGAAAGATGATCGTCTGTAGCCCAGGCTGACTTTGAACTTTCTGTGTAGTCAACTCTGACCTTGCCTCATTGCCTCTATTGAGTTCTGGGATGAAAGGCTTACAGCCAGCATGCCCATCTTAAACAAATTCTTTTTATATCATTAACCATTTAGATCCAAATGTCTGTTGTTTTTCAGCAATGAACATGATTAAAAGTTAACTACATTTGATTCCCATGTGGGAAGCCTAGTATAAACAGTAGGAATTATTCAATAAGGTCATATTCCCTACTGATGCTTGTACCCTACACTCCTGTAGATACAACAGTGGTCTCTGAATTTTGGAATGTTTTAGCAAACAAACTCTTACTTGCAGGGTTAATCACTTGCAGGACTCTATTTTCTAAAGTCAACATAAGATTAACAGACTACTGAAAGTAAGATTGACTTTAGTGACATGAACTTCAGAGCAGTATAAATTGTGTAGATTCTTTATTAAAGAATGAAGACTAGAGCAAAACCGACATGCAAATAACACATAGCAGTAATTCTCAAGGTATGACATGCATCATAATTGCTTAGAGGGCTACAGATTGCTGAACCCCATTCCTACAGTTTCTGATTCAATGTCTTGATTTCCAACATTTCTCCTTTTTATAATATAAGCATTTAATGACGTAAAACGCCCTATAAAGATTTAGCTGGGTTTTTTTTTTTATATGTTTTCATTTTCATTCAGGTAAAAATATCTTCTCATTTTCTTTTTATTTCTCCAACCCAGGGTTATTTAAAATCATCAACAAATTGCAAATATTCATGCAATTTTTCCATATTTTTCTTTGATACTATTTTCTAATTTATTTCCATTTTGGTGAGAGAATATAACTGTTATGTTTGAATCCTTTTAACTTATGAGGGTTTTTGACATAGGATCTTGTCCATAAATTATTGTTATTTGGTAAGTCTCCAATGCTTTCTTGGAATGCATGCATATCCTGTATTGTTTACTATGAATGTCAGGTTATGTTCATTGATAAAGCTGTTCAAGTTTTCTACTCCTTCACTGATTTTTTCTGTCTACTTGTTCTATTGATTATTAGAAGGATATTGAAAGCTCAGATTAAAGCGTTGTATTCATTTTTTTCTTTCAGTTCTGTGAAGGTTTTGCTTTGTGTATTTAGAGTACTCTTGCTAGGTGCAGACTGTTAGAATTGCAGTGGTCTCTTGATAATATGAACCTTTGCCATTCAGAAATGTTCTGTTTTGTACCTGTTAATACTCTTTGTGCTGAAATCTGTTTTAGCTGATGGTACTAACAATTCCAGCTTTCTTTGGACTAGCTTTACTTTTAACATGTTTGTATTTTATCTGAATTTCTTATAGGCAGCTTTAGGGCTGTGTCTTGCTTTTTAAAACATACAATTTGACAGTGTCTGCCTTTTGTTGCAGTGTTTAGATAATTTTCATGTCATGTAATTATTGGCCTGATTGGTTTTAGATATCCTTCTTGCTCTTTGCCTTCTATTTGTTCTTTATTTACTTTTTCCTCATTTTCACCTTCTTTTGGATTGAGTATTATTCGTGATTCTACTTTGTCTTGATGACATGTGTGTCAACTCTTTCCACTAAGTCTACCCTCCAGGACATCGACCCAGTCCCTTCCCCTCTTTTTGAGGAATAGTCTCTCTGTTATGCAGCTCTAGCTGTCCTGAAATTTACTGTGCAGACCAGGCTGTCCTCCAACTTAGAGTGCTGGGACTAAAGGCATGTACCACCATACTTGGCCAGCCCAGTCTCCCTTAAAGGAAGACTGTTTTGTATTTTTCTGAGCATTTACATTTAATATAGCAGTTATATAGCAGATAAGTTATAGAAATAATAACATGAGTATATCCAACATTTGGAGGATTTCATGTAAAATATAAATAAACTTGAAGCGGCTAATCCATCCTATAAAGCCATTATATACACCTCCATATTTTTATATTAATATGATTGTTTTCCCTTTGTCTTATTTGAACCTTATGATAAGCCTATATTAAACTGCTTATCATTTGTTAACTACATCTAGTTTCTCCTCATGTCAGTTATTTTCCATTGATATCACGTCTTAAAGAAACTTAAATTGTTCGATACATATAATTATCCATGCATTCTGTGACCTGTTTAATGTACTTGAATTTCACCAGCAATGCTCACCTTCTACCATATCACACAGAAGTTGTTTTATCCCACAGGTCACTGAAATACCATTATACTTTCCCCCAAATAATTGGCTCTTAACCATGTGCCAGATGTTCTTAGGGAAAGGCGATGTCGCAATTCAGCTGGATTTATGTCCAGGTTCCAAGTCAGTATATTAGTGTATTTGTGCTATTGTAACAAAATACCAGACTGAATGGTTTTAACAACAGAAATAGTTTTGGAGGCAGGTCACATGTCCACAATCAAAGTGTTGATATGTTTGTGTACTATTCAGAAGTCTCTCTTTGACTTGACTTTCCATGGTCTTCCACCTGTATGTATATCCTTGGTTTTCCTTTGTGTGTTCAGATTTTCTCTTCATATGATCATAGTCAGATTGTATTAGGGCCTATTTAATGGCCTTGTTTTAACCAAATCACTTCCTTAAAAGCTCTAGCTCCAATATAGTCACAGTGTAAGGTATTGGGGATTAGAGCTTCAATATGGATGGAGGTAGCACATAACTATAGTGACAAAACTAATCATCTTCTTCCAGTCCACAGGCTTTTGCTGAGACTGTTTCCGTGTGTGTTATGTGGCAGGGCCTGGTTTTTTCTTTGTTATTATTACTTTTTTTGAGATACCATTTCACTATATAGCCCTGGCTAGCCTGGTGCTTACTATGCAGACCAGGCTAGCCTCAAACTCACAGAGATCCACCTGCTTCTGCCTCCGATGTGGTGAGATTAAAGGTGTGCGCTGTCACTTCTGGCAGGGCAGGGTTCTTATGGCAAATCTAAGGGTGTAATTTAGAATTATTTTTACTTCTGCTGTGAAATCAGGTGCAACTTCCTTTGCTCCATTCTTGGGGTGAGAACAAGCAAGTGCATATTAATATAAGTTGCTTTGATCTTCAGAGAACTCGTAAGTTTGGAGGCTTATAGGAATTCCACAAGTGTTGATATTTCATTGCCTATCATGAAGGGCTATTGATTCATATCTGGGTCAGGCTCCAACTGTTTTAAATTGTTCTAAAGACCCTATTTGTTCGTGATACAAGCCTTTACCCAGCTGTGAGTCCTAACACTGTTCAGCTTGATTCAAGGAATCTGCCTGGCCCAGGTTGCTAAACCCTTACTATCTTTCCAGGCAGATTCCTTTCCTTTTCCTGTCTTCTGGAAGAGTGACTCTTTGGCTCTTCTAATCCACTTGACTCACTATTCTCTTGTGAATGCCATTCTTTAAAAGGAAACTCACATTGCTTCAGCAGTCACACTACTGAGTATGTAAGCAGAGAGAATGAATTTATCAGGCTGCAGAGACATTTGCACTCCCATGTTCATTGCAGCAGTATTCTCAATAACTAACCAATAGGAACAGCCAAAGTGTATGTCAGTGATGAATGTATCAATTAAGTATAGTACATTTGTACAATGAGATGCTATTCAGCCATGCAGAGGAATGATTTTGTGACAAAATTGGATGGAACTAGAGATTATGTTAAGTGAATGAAACTGAAGCTGTATGACTTCTACTATGTGGGATCTGGTGACAAATGATCTTGTGCAGGTTGACAGTAGAGTGCTTGTTACCAAAGTTTCGGGAGGGATGGCTGAATGAGGAAAGGTGGAACAAGGGTCGCTAAGTTATTGTTACTTAGATAGAAGAAAGTTCTGCTGTGCTATTACATAGTAAGGGTGTCTGTAGGTCATCGTTAATGTACTATACATAAAAAATTAGAAAATATTTTGTTAAGTTTTTAATATGAAGAAGTAATAATGAGGAAAAAGATGAACATGATTTAAATTTATATAATGTGTACATGTACTGAAATATCATGGTATCCCATTAATATGTACAAATTTTGTTTTTATGAATCACTTAAAATAAATTTAAATAAAGGAAAAATGATAACGCATGTTGTCTTTCTTTTTTTAAGAAAAGGTCTTACTCCGGAGCTCAGGCTATCCTTGCATCACTACACAGGTTAGGGTGACCTCAAACTTACAACAGTCCTTCTACCGAGCCTTCCTGGCTGTTTGATGCCTAAGCTGGTACCTGTTACTCATATAGCTCTCTTCTGTCCTGTGGACCAGTGTCTAATCCACCAGGCATGTTGTTGCCATTGTAATTGCCTTAGCACAATTAGAAAACATGTTTTGTACCCACAGATATTGCATCTCCCTACTAAGATTATGTGGATAGTAGTCATTCTTGGAAATAATTTATTCTCAGATAAAGAAAATAAGACATTTGCACAATGGACTATTACTCAGATGTTAAAAACAATCACATCATGACATTCTCGGGCAAATGAGTGGAACTAGGAAAAAAGGATCCTGAGTGAGGTAACCTAGACCCAGAAAGACAAACATTTACTCACTCATAAGTGGATATTAGCTGTAAAGTAAGGGATAACTAACCATACTACAACCCACAGCCCCAGAGAGGCTAGATTAGTGACTACCCAAGTTGTTATCAGAGAGCCTTCATCCAGTAACTGATGAAAACAGATGCAGAGACTCACAGCCAAACGTTGGACTGAACTTAGGGAATCCTGCTGAAGAGAGGGAGGAAGGATTCTATCAGTCAGGCCAGGAAATCTACAAAGGACCCATGTAGACCATCTACATATGTGTGATAGTTGTGTAGCTTGGTCTACCTGTGGGACTCCTAGCAGTGGAATCAGGAGCTGTCCCTAACGCCTTGGCTGACTTTTGGGAACCTAGTCCTCCTTCTGGGTTGCCTTGCCCAATCTTAATAAAAGGGGGGGAGTTTAGTCCTACATCAGTTTGATATGCCATGCTTTGTTGATACCCATAGGAGGTCTGCCCCTTTCTGAACAGAAATAGAGGAGTGGATTGAGAGGGGAGGTAGGAGGAAGGGATGGGAGGAGAGAGGGAGGGGAAATTTTGGTCAGGATGTAAAAACAAATGAATAAATTTAACTAGTAAAAAAAGAAACACAAAAAGAAAAATAATTTAGATCCTTTTGTCATTATATGCCATAGCCATCCAGCCTGGTATTACTTGTATTTTAAGAACTATACTTAAAGACTCACTTCTGCCAGGGCATCAGACTTAGGACAGAAGGCACAAGTTAATGAATTCCCACTTTGTGTTCACGTGGTGTCAAATAAATGTGAGGAACTCTCCTCTAAAGCCACTTGTACTTATGCTAACAAATAAATGGAAAAGAGTTATGGCAAGGATGGCTTTCATATCTAAGTGATGCTCCACCCTTTACATGTCATTTGCACCAACAAGATGTCCTGTGCTGAGCTTAACAGGCTCCACATAGGTATGTGTATGCCTTTTGGAAGCTCCAGGACTCATTGGCAAGGTCATTTTGTCTATCCACACCAAGCCACAGATTAAAGAACCTGGGATCAACACTATGTGTAGAGTCAATTCAAGCTCCCTGGCCACCAGAAGATCCACATCTCAAAGATGTGGGGCTTCACCAAGTTTAATGCAGATGGATGAAAAGACATAGTAGCTGAGAAGTGGCTCACTCCTAATGGCTGTGTGGTCAAATATATCCTCAATTGCAGCACTCTGGACAGGTAGCCAGTCTTGCAATCCTGAGGTCTAAATCTTACATCTAATCAAAAACAAAAAGAAATAATTTATTCTGCTTAAGCTATAGAGACTCCTGCCTAACCTTTCTTGTCTCAAGATAGTCATTTCCTATGGAATTTGAGCTTAGCAATAATACCTTCTGCTTTAGTCCCTTCATGAACACATTGTTTCTATCTTTTTAAAGATTCACTATATTTTTAATTATGTATATGTGTGCCTTTTTGTGTGGGTGTGTGCTCATGAGTGTGTGACCACAGAGTTCAGAAGAAAGCTTCAAATCTTCTGGAGCTGAAGAGAGGCAGATGTGAGCAATGTTGTCTTAGGAACTGGTCTTAGGTCTCCTTCAAGAACAGTACGTGCTTGTATTCACTGAGCCATCTCTTTAGCCTCCAACTCTATTTTAGTAACTTTAAATCTGCAGAAACAAGGGTAATTTGTATATATACACAGAACACTTTGACATCACAGGCAATGACTATATTCATAATAGCTAACGATCTTTTTAGTGGTGATCAAAGTCGACAGTTATTCAGCTGTTAGTCTGTCCGTTGTATATTGCATAGTTTGATGACCAGACAGGAAGTAATTTTCTGGAAGTTCATTCTCAAATGATAACCTCTGTAGTAGATGTAACTTGAAAAAAAGCCTTCGGAGGTGCCTGTTACCAAGCCTAGGGCCTAATGACATGGTATAGGATCTACCAACCTATAGGTCAACCCCTGTAACCTGTTTTTTAAGACTAAAACCACACAGGTTTGTTTATAGCTCTCCATCATAGCTGTTATTATTTGAATTGGAAATAATCTTTATAAAGGCAATTTTAAAAATTAACTTATTTCTATAGTTTCCATACAAATAAATACTATATGTTGAGAAAATGTCCCCATCCATGTCCTCATCCCACCTTTGCTCACCTGTTACGTGATATTTTGTTTGTGTTATGACAAAGCTTGCCTGGCGATCAGAGGTTGGAGCTAGCCACTAGTTAACCTTAAAAGCTGAGCACTCATGGCTCATGCCTTTAATCCCAGCACTCAGGAGGTGGAGACAGGAAGTGAAAAAGTGGGGTGTAGACGGGATCTCAGACCTTTTGGACTGAGGAATGAGAAAGGAATAAAGCAACTGGCGGCTGCTCCTCTGCTTTGAATTTTCAGGTTTTACCCCAATATCTGACTCTTGGTTTTTATTGATTAAGATTGATTAGATTTACACTTAACCCAGTTGTAACATGAAGACCGGGCTTGTTGGGATTTCTGTCCCGCCCAGTCCCCCAGCTGTTTAGTCCCAGAGAAAATCACACAGAGGTCTCCATAAGTTATAAAGCTGATTGGCCCATTAGCTCAGGCTTCTTATTAGCTCTTGTAGCTTATATTACCCCATTATTCTTATCTATGTTAGCCACATAGCTCGGTACCTTTCACAACAGGGCAGGTCTTTGGTGGTCTGGACTGGACTGGGAGGAATCAGCTTCCTCCTTCCCAGAATTCTCCTGTTCTCATCACCCCGTCTCTACTTCCTGTCTGGTTGACCCACCTATACTTCCTGCCTGGCTAATCAACGTTTATTTAAAACATGATTTACGGAATACAGACAATTCTCCTATACCACCCAGTCATCCTCCTATTAGTCATTTCCACTTCTATTTTCCTGTCATATATGCTTGATTTTACATGCCTGCATTTTGAATGCTTGTTCCCCAAGTGGAAGTGCTCTTTTGAGGGGCAATGGAAGCCTTAGGAGGTGGAGTCTAGCTAGTGACAACAGGTTGCTGGGGCAGGCCTTTCAAGATTATGTGTAGCCTAGCTTCTAATTGCAGCTGCTTTCTGTTTTTCTGATCTCCTGGGATGTGAGGAATCACTACAACATACTCCCATAACCATGAATTCTGCCATACCTTCTTTATCACAGTGGACTACTGGGGATTGAACCCAGGACCTTGCCATGTAATAGGCTAGTGATTTATCAGTGAGTTGTAGCCTTGGGCCTACAGTTGATATAACCTTAGGAAGGAATGTCACATTCGTTGACTGTGGACTCTCAGTGACAGCAGTAGCAGTCTGAGTCTATCTAGCAAGTGCTTTCCTTTCAGGCCAATACTTATCTTGTAGAGTTGCACAGATAGAGACTCACTGGGAAATCTTAGCCACCAGACAATGGAGCTACATTCTTGGTGAGTCCAAATTTTGTAAGATAGGGTGAAATTATAATTTATCCCATTAAGCCCTTACAAATTGTGGCATAAAAGTTTAATGATATAATTGTGGTAGTTCTTTCTGCATCCCCAAGGGATGAATTGTAAGGCTGCGGTGGATGCCTGCAAACTGGAATAATACCAAACCACGAATTCCATTCCTTTCTATCTCAGTCAAGCACTTGTCATGCTGTGCCCATAGTTTTTGCAGTTTGAGGTGTGACAAATTTCTTTCTCCTTCTTTGCGATTTCATGGGTGGAGATTCATTCTTACCGCGGGTCTTAGCAGCTTCAGAATACTTCATTGTTGTTTTCTTAAAGCACTTTATCACTTTTCTTTGGCATATCCAAAGTGAAAGTATCTCTACTCTAGTACTTAGGGACTATTATTAAGTAAAATAAGTGTTAATCAAAATTGAGCACTATGATACTGGTTATGAAAATAATTACTAGTAACCAAATTAGTGGTTAGTACATGCAGCATGGAAACACTGAACAAAGCAATGATACACTTCTTCGAAAAGCAAAGTAAAATGGCATGAGTTTATCACAATATTTATAACTTCATATTTCTTTTTATTTTAATTTATTTTTAAAATTTAATCTTACATTCCATCCATAGTTCTCCCTCCACCCAACCCCTTCTCCTGCCCCCACCCCACTTCCCCCAGTCCATCTCCCATCCACCTCTCCTAATGGGTAAAGGTTAACTGCAATTTTCAATTTTTTTTCTTATATCTATGTGTGTCATACTGCGATATAGTACTGAGGGTTGAAAACAGTGACCTGTGCATAGTAGGAAAGCTATTTACCATTGACCCATAGCCTAGAACAAATATAAAAGTTTGTGTTATGGACTCTCAATTTTACTTCATTACCCTCTGTTTGTATCATTATGCTAATTTTGATTACTGGGGTTTTGTAATACATCTTGGTATCAGATTACAGTTCTCTTACTTTGCTATTCCCTTTCTTCATTGTCTAACCTTGTAATTCGTTATGAATTCTAGGACTCAGATGAGGCATTGAGATTTTGATAGAGATTCCAATGAAGCCATAGGTCACTTTGGGGAATAGTGACATCTTACTATTAAGTTTTCTAATCTATGGACATGGAGAATCTTCCCACTTACTTGTCTTCTTTGC